TTTTTTTCCCTAGAGCATCATGCAAGAGAGTTTCAAGATAGTCACATGTAAACAGTTTGCAAATAATGAGATGTGGTCTATCTTTGGTCCCAATAAATGAAAAGCCAAATCAGAATAAGCCATCACTGAATTTTCTGTTGACAATGTAGTGCTGGGGATTGAAGTCAGGGTACCTTAAACCTGAGCCACATCTCCAATACTTCAAATTTTCAAAAAATTCCAGACAAGGTCTTGCTAAATTGCTGAGGATGGCCTTGGATTTGCCATCCTTCTGCCTCAGTTTCCTGAGTTGCGGGGATTATAGGCATATGTCACCACGCCTGGCTTGTCAACATTGTTTTTGGCATCTGGGAGACTTCTTAATTGGTTGACCTGCAGGTTGATGGAGGCGTATGGGTAGATCAACTATCACTCCTGAGCCACTCCCAGTGATTCTGGCCTGAGATCCCAGCAGTCAGGTATCAACACCTCCCATCTAGTGCAGGGATAATCTGTATTCAGCTCATACTTGTTGCTTTACTTTCACAGTTCATTTTTTTGTTTCAATGCAGATCTAAAACTCCAATGAATCTACTCTTATGAAAACAATGATAACTTTTTTTTTTTTTCTCCAAGGGACAGGAGTCTCACTGTGTTGTCCAGGTTGGCCCCAAACTCCTGGGCCTCAGAGTTCCTGCCACCCCAGTCTCCTAAGTAGCTGGGATTATGGGCATGCACCACCATGCCCAGCTAGTCTTTTTCTAACCAGCTTGCAGATCACAACAGGAGGTCTGCTAATTTTATTGTCTAAACAGCGTGTCTCAAACTACTCAATGAAGGTGGATAAGATGAAGATTGATGCAGTAGGTCTGTCAGGGACTTGAAATTCTGCACGTCTAACTAGCTCCCAGGTAATGTTGAGCAGCAAAAGCCTTTAGTTCTGTCTCTACGGTGGACCAGAGAACCTACGTAAGTCATAACCTCATTGCACCTAATTTCCCCCTTGTGCTCGTCTCTTCCTGTTTCACAGAAATGGACAATCATTGACTTGACACCCACAGAGGGACTGTTGTGTTTATGCTTCACGTTAACTTATTTTTTAACCTGTGTTCCATGCTTCCTGTTTTTAACCAATTGTCCATGGTGGGTATAAAATAACCTTAAAAGATGACAATTTAAACTGTGCAATGATCTGGGCTGCTGTGTCTTGGTGACGGCTGGTGACAGTGGCTGTGGAGATAAGAAGTCAATGCCCAGGTGTCTGAGCACTGTGGAGTGTTGGCTACTGTGCATGCTCCTCTTGCAAAACACACAGTTTTAAGGAGATACTTAATGGTGTTCCTGAAAACCTCTTAATTGGGACCTGGTAAACCTCTGGATAGGAAACATGGAAGGTATTTTGGGTTGTGGGTCCTTTTAAGAATCTAGTAAAAGCTCTAAGTGGTCTCCCCACAAAATACACAAGGTGAATTACATGCAGATTTCAAGGGTTGTCCCCCTACCCTTTTGGGGGTACCTGGGGGATTAAACCCAGGGCCTTGCACATCCTTGCACAGCATATATAGTCTGTAAATCCTAGATAAGTATTCTATCACTGAGCTACATCTCCAGCCCAACAAAGATCTGGGCCACTCTATCTAAACCATCTTCAATATAACATTCCTGATTACTTTTCAAGTTGAGCTCTGATGATATTCCCCTCCTCTCTGAGTTTCCTCAACAGTTCCCCTTTATCCAAAGCAGAGCTTCCCCAAGTGTGATTCATGGGCTGCCCCTGAGGAACTGGTTAATGTTGGATAAAATGCAGATTTCTGGGCCCCAGTTAAGAGCTTCTGAATCAGGAACGAGGTTTACACAGGCAGGGCTACTTCCTAGATCTTTTAGCCCTTCAGAGCCTCATATCAAATGAATAAAATGAACCCAAAGGCCAAAGCAGCATACATAGTCTGTAAATTTCCCCCCTGGTATTGGTGACTGAATCTGTAGAATTTACTGAAAAAAATGTTTATAAGTTTTGCAAACTTCAGTTTTGTTAAGAATATTTTCTCACTGGGTGCGGTGGCGCATGACTATAATCCTAGGCTGAGTGCTACTGAGTTTAGTCCCCAGTACCCCCAAAAAATTTTTTCCTGGGGCTGAGGTTGTGGCTCAGTGGTAGGGTGGTAGAGTTCTTAACATGTGTGAGGCACTGGGTTTGAGTCTCAGAACTGCATATAAATAAATGAATAAAATAAAGGTTCATCAACATCTTTAAAAAATATTTTCTCTAAAACTTTTATTAGGTTTACATACAGCCATATAAGAATTATATGCAGTTATTGTCAAGGTTATGTTTTATAGCATTAAGCATTTATTCATTTAGATTTTGTGGTCAAATTTGAAATAAAACTTCCTTTCAGTTCTTAGACATTTTATTTTCATTTACTTACGTATTTTGGGTAGTAAGGATGGAACCCAGGGGTGCTCTACCATTGAGCTATATCTCTAGACCATTTTTACTTTTTTTTTGATACTAGATATTGAACTCAGGGGCACTCAATCACTGAGCCACATCCCCAGCCCTATTTTGCATTTTATTTAGAGACAGGATCTCACTGAATTGCTTAGCACCTCAGTGTTGCTGAGGCTGGCTTTGAATTCCTGATCCTCCTGCCTCAGCCTCCCCAGCTGCTGAGATTACAAGCGTGTGCCACCACGCTTGGCCCATTTTTACTATTTTTGAAACAGGGTCCTGCTAAGTTGTCCAGTTGGCCTCAAATTGCAATCCTCCTGCTTCAGCTTCCCAAGTTTCTGGGATTACAGGCATGGGCCACCATACCTGGCTCAGTTCATAGACACAGGTCCTTGAAAAGCCAGGGAGACCTGGGCATTGTTCAGCTAATACCCAACAGATTTAAACCATCCTAAGCAAAGCCTAGAATCTCAATCTCAATATCTTTTTAACAAGTTCTCCTAAGAAAATGGGTATCATGAATTTTTGAGCTGGGAGGAATTAAGAGAAATTATTGCAGTCTCACATTAAGTGCTAAAGTTTTAAATAACGTATATGTCCTACAAGGTTAAAAATTAATCTGGGTGTGGTAGCATGTATCTGTATACACAGCTACTCTAGATTGAAGCAATAGGATCACTTGAGTTTACAAGTTCCAGGCCAGCTTGGGCAACATAGTGAAACCCCAATGGAAAAAGAAAAAAAAAAAAAAAAGCCAAGCTCTTAATGGCAAAGCACTATTTACAACTAATGCCACAAGGGGGCACCACTGAGATAGGTAAACAAGGAAGGGGTCAATTGTCTCCGAAAAAATGGTGTTTCAAGTTACTCATGAATTTACAGCACTTTGGATGGGTGTTTGTAGATTCTTGGACAGTTTTATTTGACTGGTTTTTGTTTTCATTACACCATTATTATTTTTTTTAGAGAATACTTTAT